TGGCTCAACAGCAGGGTATAATTCCAAAGTCTGAAAAGTACGTTTAAGAGATTTTATGTTATGATAATGTCCACTTACAGGTGTTAGAATGATCTTCAGGTTTATTAACCCTTATGATAAAGAAAGGGCCAAGAAAGATCTCGAAGAACTTGCTGAACAGGAGCGTGAACGGCGAGCAAAGGAAAAAGACACAAAAGTCACTAAAAAGAAGAACAAGAGCCAGTCAAAATCAGAACTCTGAATGTTTATTAATTTATTTGTTTATCTCAAAAGAATCTCCCTCACAGCATAATTTCATATTACTGTAAGAAAATCTTGAAGTGCTCTTAATCTCCTTGCGGCTAGTCAAAGGTGCTTATTCACTTGTTTTATTCACTTTGGTTGTGATTACTAGTTGTGCAATTATATTGTGCCTTGTTTGGAACTTATAAAGTTTTTCAAAAGTTATGTGATCATCAATAGAGGTTGTTTGCCAAGGAACGGATATCGATTTGTTTTCTTTCGTCTTTTTATGTTGGCATGATATTGCTTTATTAAACTGCTTCGATTGTTTAGATGACAGAAATTTCGCTAAAAGAATTGAAGGATCTCGCCGATGATAACGAGATCGACCTGTCGGCTCGAGGCCTCACTGCTGTACCTAAAGCATTGCCACAGGTTCACTTTGAAATTAGATTTGAAGAATTAAGTCCTGTCCTGGCACTGTTTGCCCTTTACTGCCTCTAATGTATCAGAATACCTGTCAACTGCGAAGCCTCCCTCCTCCTTTCTTTTTTTTCTTCCACTTTCCTTCTATTCAAGCCTCTGTCCTTTCTCCCCTCTTCCATGTTCTCCTCCCTTCATAGGCTCGGCCAGAAGCTGCAATGAGAAAATGCTTCTGGACCCTCCCAGAGATGAATATCCAGTTGACAGATGACCTGTAACCCTCTTATAGAAATTAGGGCACTGTCGTACGTTGAGGCTCCCAGCGAGGGGGTCGTGTTTTGTCCCTGGAAGGCGGGCGTTTTTGTCTGGAAAAAATGTTTTCGCTTGTTGGTTTTTGTCGATTTTTCCTGTTTCAAGTACGCTGCATCCCTATTTCTCCCCTCGCCTTGCCCAACGACAGTTTTTCTGGAAATAGTTTTTGGAAGAACTGCAGAAAATTGCTAGGTTGGGGAAAATCCGGGAAGATGAATTGTAGGTAGGATGTCAAATGGAGAAGGGGTCGTACAGAAGGAAATTTTAGAGAAGGGTGTCGTGTTTTCCCGCTTTTGCCATCGAGAGGAAGTACCCTTACAGGAATTTTGATCGCTTATTCGGATTTCGTGCCTGAGTAGACTGGGCACAGACTTGCGACAGGAGTTAACTTGCCTTTGGGCGTACATATCGCATCCATTTGTCGCGAAAATTCTGGGCGCTCACGCTAAATTGGCCTTGGTGTCAAATTTGCAAGCCCCGCTCACCTGTACAACTTAACTAGGGAACTTTTTGTTTTATCCTGATGAACTGAGGAGCTAGCTAAAGGTGCAGATAAGTCTCGAGCTCTAAACACATCCCTGGCATCGACCAGCATGTCGGTGCCTAAACAATGTCCTGTGACCGCGGCATCCTGCAGCCCGAGAGCCGGAACCGATGAGATCCGCACATCGCTTCGCGTCTCAAGGAACATTGTGAACATCTTGTGTCATGAGAGTCGAACTACCCCGACAGATAGCTGGCCGCAGTATAAGCCCCCGTAGGAGTTAACGATCCTTTGAGAGATATACAAATATTTCTCAGTAGGAAGGCAATAGGGGAGAAAGTGCCAAATTACAAATGAGCGTAAACGAACATGGTTTCTGAAGTTAAACGAGCATGGTTCCTGAAGTCGCTGTACTGCCAAATTCGGCAATGCGTCTCCTAAAAGCCTCTCCTCTTCCGAGTCTGTTTGAGCAGTTTTGGTGCAGAATCATTGACACAGTTGTATTCATTGTTAATCAAAAGCTTATACGTTTTAAGGTCCCACGACTGACTCATGTCGATCTAGGATCTAACAAAATTACAGTTTTACCGCCGTCTTTGTGCACAATGACTCGCCTTGTGAGGTAGTGTAGAATTCGTTGCCATAGTCATCGCCTCGTAATCAGATTTTTGAGTTTCAGGCTGGAGTTGGGCAGCAATCAGCTGGATCACCTTCCCGACAATATTGGAGCCCTTGTACATTTAGAACATCTGGATCTTTACAATAATCAAATCGAGGTTTGTAGTTGGAAGAAGTTAGTAAAGTAGTTGAATATGTGAGTAGCTTGTAAGGCGCACGCTTATGGTGTTGTTCTACCCTTCGGTTGCACCCATGGAGCCAAGCCGCTCTAAAGGCTATGGCACGATAAATTGGTACTCGGTTTAAAAGCTAGCAGAGTGCTGTTTAGTGAAATAATGGCGAAAAAACGAGGTGAAACGGTCAACAACCTGCGAAGAAATGCCTTTATCCTTCATGACCAGAAACAATTTCGGACGAGTTTCCCGTAGGCATCGTGCCAGTAATCGCTACGGTAGATACGGCTGCATGTATGTACTCATATATCCATGCAGCACCGCAGCCGCTTCATATCAATCCCTTCGCTTCATATTTTACTTCGCAAATGAAGCAATACGAGCATCAGGTACGGTCGTCCATTTGTGGGCGGGCGGGTGACCGGGTCGATATGTTGCAGCTTGATAGGACCTTATAAGGGTGCATTCCTTGGAAAAGGCGTTATGCAGCGCCTGAAAAAGGGCGCGAATTCCGTCTTTCCAGGCGTATAATTCTACTCGTCTCGAGTATTCATCGTGCCAGCTGCCTTTAATTAGATGATACTCGAGCAACACAATAGGCTTAAACGCCAGATGGGCTCCTACAAAGGAAAAAAATGGGCGGGAACATCGGCCTCAGAGCCTGTCTTGTTCGTCTTATACCTCTTTATTGTTGAAGTTGTCAGTTTTCCTTGACAAAACTGGCAAGTTTAGTCTTGCGTAGGGCGCAGGATATGTGGGGGTGCGAAGCAGGGCCAACGGACGATATCTCCGCCCTCGCGTATGTTTATCGTTTAAGCTGCCCGTTTTTTTTCGATTGATTGAGGACTTTTACAAAGTATTGCCAGCTTTAAGTGCAGCTATGCTTCGGTTTTCTTTTTCAAACCTTTTTTGATTTTTTTATGTGCCTGAAAAATTCGGTCGATTGGTTTTTGAACATATGGCTGGATGTACTATAACGCTCCGGAGGAAATACCAATAGTTTCTACACAAAGGTGGAGAAAAGTGCTGCGAGCTTTTTCCATTTTCTTGCCGTAATGCTCAAAGAACTAGCCCATTTGTCGTGCATCGTAGCGTGTGATTAGAGAGAGAAAAACAAAAGCGTTAGTGAAGCAGAAATGCCCTCATATATCTGCCTATTCGGTACATACTTAGGACATGAAGGCAACTGGTACAACAAACTCCCAATACGAGTAGGATTAATATGCCTGGTAGGACGGAATTCGCGACCTCCAGCAGGCGCTGCGTAGCGCCTTTTCCAAGGAAGGTACCCTTATAAGGCCCTATCAAGCTACAACATACCGACCCGAACGCCCACCGCGCCCGCCCGCCCACAAATGGACGACCGTACCTGATGCTCGTATTGCTTCATTTGCTAAGTAAAATATGAAGCGAAGGGATTGATATGAAGCGGCTGCGGTGCTGCATGGATATATGAGTACATACGTGCAGCCGTGCCTACCGTAGCGGTCAATGGCAAGTGCCCTATGGGAAACTCGTCCGAAATTGCTTTCGTACACGATCATCCACCACCGACCAAAGCCTCATATACGCCAGATTTCTTATGAAACAATCCCACCACCCACTCCACCGGGCTTTTTCGGCGCACGTTCCCCACTATATAGCACCCTGCTAGCATTTTAGGCCGAGTAGCGAGGTATCGTGCCATGTCCCTTTGAAGCAGCTTCAGCGCCCGGGACAGTAGGTCAGAGTGGATGGAGATCTCGTGCCTTGGTGCGTACTATGCTACTCTTTGCCTCCGTCTTCGCCAATACAAGGCTCCAAAAACTAGAATGGAACATGAATATTATTGCGCGATTATCAAGCCCACTTTGACCTGCTATCCCGGCCGCTTGAAGCTGCACCAAAGTTTTAGTATGGATGCTTCGCTTTTCCACTTTATTCGTACTTTTATTCTTCGATCTCATCGCGGAAGGAGCTGTAAAAGGATTCGACTGACAATTGCGGTTATGAATCATTTTGCCGTTTACCATGCGTCACTGTATCAGGAAATAATTCCGTTGAATAAATAGCCGTTTATCCACGTGTGAGCGGATGTGTGCATGGCTAAGTAGCCGCGTTTACGATTACCACCTAACGCGGTCCTGGGTTTCAGTCCGCGTTTGTCGAATTCTCCCCCCCCCCGCGTCTTTTTCTCCCCTCCCTTCTCTTTCTCCGTCCAGATATAAGGCCAGTTCAAGCCTTATCCCGGGCGGCACGATAACTTTGGTTCTAAGTTTGTCTGGGAGAAATAAAGAGCACTTGCATTTTGTGCATGGCCTAACCTATGCAAGCCTCATTGTTATACGGTCCAGATCGGCTTTCAGTAAACTGCGATCTTGATGGAAGACTAGAATGCGTGGAGTAAAAATCTCCAGAAGGAGTTGGATCATTGCCAAAGACGTAATCCTTTACATCTCTTCCTATTTGCAGATAAATGTGATGAATAGCGCCGTTTATGCTCCATTGTTTGACATAATGCAAAAACATTGTGCAGCGTCACATCTCGGGATGCCCAGACTGACGCTATTCGAGCTAAGTAGAGGTTGAGGGGAAATGAGGGGGGGAGAGAGAGAGAGAAAAAAAAGCGAATGAAGAGTATGGGGCAGAACGAACGGCCTAATGAAGTATTGTCAATCCCGAAAGTCGAGATGATGAAGTTGTTGTCGCTCAGGAAAACAATGGCAAAGTGGTGATAATTCAGTAGTGAAGAAATATATAAAATAGGCGGGGCGCATTCGCCACGAACGGGTCCTTTCCTCACATACTTTTAGTCTCTGAAAAAGGTACATCTCCTGTACTTGTGAGCATGAGCACATCGTCCATAGAAGGGGCCTGAACCTTAAAGGAACAGCGAAGAAAATTTTTTGAACTTTCAAAATTCTCACGGGGAGCTCCGGGGTGTGTGAACCCATTTTTTCGGGTCAAAAGGGATTTTGCGCTGCGGTAATTTCGAATAGTACTTCAAGGTCCCCTCACCAGTTCAGAAAACGACAAGTTCAATGTCCGTATTTCAGGAACTGCCTCTTTCTTTCTCTAATCTGAATGCGTTGCGATGGCTGGATTTGAAGAAAAATCCGTTATCGCCCGAGCTGCTGAAGGTAGCATATCCGTCGCAGCAGTCCGCTTGGTACAGTATGACTGGTACAGTAGTCATACATCAAGCGTTTCAGGTCACAGGTAACTGTGGAAGTGAAAAAGAGTGCCGACAAGCCGCTCTGAATGTGGTTTCCTACATGAAAGAGTTGCATAAAGTTCATAATATTCAGGTTTGCAGAGCAACTTTTATCTCTTTGTCCTTTTTCCCCCAGAATCCCGTTTTTTATGCTTCTCATTGGTTTTTGTTGTTTGTTTTTTGGCTTTTGAAAGCGTTCGGCGTTAAGCATTAGGAAGCGAACGGCTAGGTTTATTGATTTGTGAGCGAAGAAAGTAGCCCTACTTATTGGCTCTTTGCTTCCTCGCTCATTCCATCTCGTAAATTGCTTATCTTCCACGGCAGCTATCGCCTAGTTTCAGTTTTTCGCCTGTTTTAATATTGATTCCTTGGCAGATGTTGACTCAGCAGAAAGTGCACGAGAAAATCCAAGAAGTAAAAGAAGCGAAGGAAACGACTCATAAGAATAAGAAGAAGCATCATAACAAGAAAGAGGATGCAGCACATCAAGCAGCCAAAAATAATGGTGGGTTTCTTTGGTTGCTGAACCAATTGCTGTAAAATGCTATCGTCGGTGTTTTTTTTTCGTATATGGTATCAAAAACTTTTATGGAGCCATAGTGTCGTTCCTGAAGTACTGAGAACTCTTGTTTTTCGCATAATCAGGCGCTTTTGGCACCCTTCCCGGAAATACCTTTTGTTAAAGTTCGAATATCACGGCGGAATACCCTATTAATGAGTTATAAGGGCTGTCGCCCATCTGTGATGAATTTTCTGCCGCTAAAATCGATAGCGTCGCCATGGACGTGATGTGAGATGTAAAGCCTGATGAATAGCGAAGTGAAGAGCTTTCTTTCCGTCCGTGATTGACTGTAAGGCTTGTTTGATTCGTGCGGTTATCGGGATTTGTGGTTTTCGCACCAGTATAATCATCATTTCATGAAATATTACTGTTTCGTACATTCTGAGATTTTTCTCTTCTTCGATTCTCAATTTTTATTCTCAATTTTTTGGTCTGCAGGTGTCTGCTTCTGACGCATTTCGGGGTTGAGGGTATATTCTGCTGCATCCTAGATTACTGCTGATGCATCTTATGGAGGAGTTCCTGTGAAGTTTGCAATAGCACGAGCTTCGTTCACTCTTGAGAGAGTCCACAAGTCATACCGTGGTGTGACATATAATACAACAGAAACTAGCCAAAGGAATCAGCTAAAAAGCAAAATGCCTCCCCCAAGCAGAACAGCGTCTCTGCTCCTGCTATTTGAGAACAGAGCGGAGCGAATGCTTTTTTAAATTAGCGACTATCTTCACGATATTCATCTGCGACTGTCATGATGAGCATTAAGCCAAAGAGAGGCTCTTCAGAGGTGCTAATTCAAATGCTTTGATCCTATTTCTGCTAAGATACTTCACCTATATTTTTTGACGAGATATGCAAGAGGTCGTGTATCTAAATGCTGCTGTGTCCCATAAAGTTCATTCTATTCGGGACCAATCTGTCCTTTCTCTCGTCTTCCAGCTCGTCTCCTTCTACTCTCACCCTTTTCTCTGATCTCATTCTCTGCCCCACCAGCTCACATCTTAATTACTGATCACTTTGGTTCCCTTTCAAAGCGTGTTTCATACCCTTCTCAGTCCCTTCGTTTGCATCGTAATCAGCTAGACATGAATTACATTTACTCATAACCACAAATATTCTGACTATTGTTTTATGGCCCCTTTATGCGTCGGCGAACCTAACACATAAGTATGAAAGTCTCAGCGAGTCGTGACACCCACTGACTTGAATCTGCATTGATGTAGGGACCTCAACTAATAGATCGATCCTACGTCTCTCTATTGTAGCTTTGAACTTCCCGAAACTTCACTCCTTTCCACTAGTGGCAACCGTTTACTTGACTTCCTAGTATCTCTCGCTAAGCCGTTATTTTGACCATTACGTTCCCACGATCTTCTCTAGTGCAAAGCGTAAAGCCTGAGAATACGACTGTAAAGTTCATCTATCGCCCAGATCATATATCGCCCATTACTATTATGTCTTTTGGAATATGCATTACAAGCAGCGCAAGCTATGTATAGGCGCGCTGCTGTGAATTTATTAGCAGTATCAACATCCTTAGGAGCTTCGACTAATTGATTTTGACAAACTCGTAAGAGCCATTATTAAAGGCGCTTTTACTGAATACATGCTAGCTAGCTCCGAAATCAGCTCGAAATCTGCGCCAAAAGTGTACCCAAAAGTTATGTTTTTTTTTGCCATCAATTTTGCCAGTCATTGCTAGCAGATAAAACTCTTGCTCGCGTTAGTTTTTCTTCTCTTATGCTTTGGCTCTAGTCGCTCTCAGCCCGTCGCTCGCTAGCCTCCCAATTGAGACACTTCGTTCCCAATTACAGGAAATTGTTGCCTAAATTTCAACGGTTCCATTCTTCTCTTCACTGCTTTATTTCTTTTCACTGATTCTTTTCTATGTTAATTAGCATCTACGAACTCATATTTGGTCCACTCAGTCTAGAAATTGTGATTGCAGGAATGTGTCTTCAAGTAGAGTGAGAGAATTGAGGACTGGAGACCACCACACACAATTAGAATTACAAGCGCATAATCGGCGAGAAGGATTAGATACATATCTTTCAAGACAATCTGAGATGTCGCGGATTAGATATGGTTTAGGGGCATCGACTTATCATCTCATGAGTGATGGTATCGACAGTGATACGTTTTTGATGATGATCCAATCAATTTTTATCTAGTCATTCTCGCCAAATTTTTGACTGTCCAATTTGGCGCTGGATATGAACTCGGCTTTTGCAATCCATTGCTGACAGTGACCTGAGTCACATTACCTTTTGCAGATTTGCATATTTCAGAGTTCAGTAATCGATATGGGAATGAGCTTGGTTTTCTTCTGAAGCAGATATTCTTCAAGGGGTAAACCTGGAAAAAATCTGTTCCTGCGGCAGTTTCACCCCCTCAAACCTCAACGTATGATGAGGAATGCGCGCTCGCTACAGATACTGCACTTCACGCCTGCTTTTGTGCAGACGCCTAAGGCATTTGCGTCAACCTGATCCAGTTCATATTTGGTGGGGGAGTGCGGTGGCGGGAGGCGTGAAACTTCTCCAGGAACGAATTTTCGGCCAACACTGATGGCTCATTTCGAAATTTTTAGAAATCTAATTTTGAAAAAAGGGAGAGTGAGGGGTATGCTGTGCCGAAAAACTGTCATTAGTGCCCCTATAAAACAACATTTATTTAAAACAAACAAACCGGATCGGAGATTTTTTAATCTGAAAAGCTTTGTGGGCGCAGTTCGCTTGCGGGGGGGGGGGCATTCTGCACTTCTGCTGCTTCCTGTCGACGGTCGAGGCATCAAGTAAAGATTTTTAAATCTTCTGTAGCAATGAAATGAAACCAGCCAAAGTTTGTACACTCGACATACAGTAACACTTCCATGTTAAATCAGTTAGGTCCAGCTGCGAATGCTGCGCACCTGGACCCTTGTAATGTCGCATAACCGCATCGTGAATGTCTCTAGTGATACCACTACATCGTTAAAATCGAGTCTTTGTTATCGCGGTGTTAAATGACGTGTTTTATGGCCAGTTCTTTCACGGAAGATAACGCCGTCGAGTTCTCAGCTCTCTAAATATAGTAATCAATAATATATTCCTTCTTGCTGCTGATGAGAGTTCTGGAAACGTTTTTGACCACGCGCCTGACGTTTCGGCCAGAGGCCTAAACATGGCGTAAGATTGGGATTTGCTCCGTGGATCAACAAACGCTTCTTGCCCCTAACCTTTCCGTCAAAACTTCAAGGAGCAACCGAAAATTTCCACTTACAAAACAGACCCACCAACGTCACTTTTCGCAGAACGTTGAGTCCGTACGGTTCCGAAGTATATTAATTACTCATTTTGCCGTCCTTAACAGTGTCTGTATCCCTGGACAGGCTGTGCATATGACCAAGCACGAATATGTCTCGCAGCGGATATTCGTTAGCGGAAAACTGTCATCTTGTCTCAGTTTAGGACAATGACAGAACTAAATTGGTTTCAGGATGAAAATAATCTCTCAAGAAGCAACAGCCACTGCTACCATTTAGTTCGAAGATGCCTACTTCATGTCAGATTCGAATTATTTCACGTCACGACTGCCTGGAGAAAATTTGGATTAGTGCGCCTTCCCCCCTCTAGCAAGGCTCCTTCTCTAGTACGACTTCCTCCTCCATCCTACCTACGGTCTTCCTAATTTTTCTCATCTTCCTACCATTTTTCCAAAAGTTCACCAGTTTTTCCCGAAAAACTGCCGTCAAGGGAAGTATAGCACACAAGAGACGGGAAATAATCGACAGAAGACAACAACCGCGCCTCTTCAAAACCTTTTCATCCATATTCCCAACACCAAGTGACGCTAATACGACCTCCTCCGTGGAATAACCCATGACATGCCTTATACAGCACCCTATCACTAGGAGAGTGCACGTCTCACCTGCTTTATTTTGCAGCTTCACAATCCGATGTAGAAATGGCAATCAGCTCATTTTAGCATTTAATGGTACTCCATCTTTTTAGATCACGTGAAACACATCCGTTCTACGCGCTTCATCTGGCCCGGACCTCAAACTCACAAGCAAATCTCGTTTTCCGCAGCAAAGTTCAAAATACTTCTGAATGCGTGCGCGTGTTCCACAACAGACCTACAGCGTACCAGTCACAGGACAAATATGCCATCACTGAGTAAACATTCCGACAGAAACGGTTTTTCGCTTTCGAACGGCGATCTAGACGAGCGGTTTTCAGCCTCGTGTTCATCAAAAAATGGCTCTGCTGCACGAGTATTTGACATAGAAACCATTTGTAACTTCCTAAGTTAATTCCCTTTCTGTCAGCAATACTCGATGTAAAGAGAAGCTTTCATTCTTCGGTTCAAAGTTAGTTTTCTATATGTTAGACAAAAAATTGTTGAATCCGATCAGCTCTTTCGTAAAAGACGTGTGTCGCCTAGTGAATCATTTATGGATTTTCCCGGTGAATGAATATTCTGCTACGTCGCTATGTGAACAACGGCATTTCATCTCAAAACTGTTTGATCGTTTGTATCATCCTGGCAGCTCGCCAAACCTCAGCGAATGGGAGGAAGTCGCTCTTGCTCTCGGAACGGCCCTTTCATACTTACTGCTTGGCTTACTGTTTATCACTGCGTTTTTTGATCGTTGTGAAGTTCGTACTCGCGACAAAGGACAAGGACTCAAAGATGCGCTCCGCGCTAATTTGATTCTTAGATGCCATCCCTTGGACATCTGTAGTCCTACACGCAAGCATGGGTGATATACTACTTTGGCAGCTGAGGAGAGAGGGAGGTGGTGAGGAGAAGTAGCTGAAGGCAACAAATGGGAACTCGTCCAGCCGCGGCTTTTCTTCGCCTTATGCACGTACAGGCGGGGTTAACGTGGAGTTCTAAATGAGACACTTTGGGCTGGTTACTTTCTGCTTATTCGCCATCTCGTGATTATTTAAGCAGCACAACTGACCATTTTTGAACGTGCCTTTAAAGGGCGAACTAGGAGGGTTGGAGGTGATTGGAATTAATTTCTTAATAAACTGGTTGAATAATTTGTAGAATACTGCGTAGAGTAGAATAACCAGTAAAATAATTGGCAGAATCTCCGTAAGTGGTACTAGTCCCACAGGAAGAATGTGATCTCGCACGCGTTTAACCGTTGTTATATCTATACGCTTTTCTGTTATGCAAATTCGAGTGTATTTCGGCGTCAAAGTGCAAAATGCCTCCCCCGCCCTCTCCGTCGCCAAACTGCGTCCGCTTTTGTGTAATTGTAACAGTTTTTTTTCAGGACCCGCGACCGTTAATAATAAGGCGAAATTCTCCCAATCAAGAGAACCTAAGAAGGAGAAAGAGGCACCGAAACAAGTGAGGACGACTCCCGGATTCTTCTCTAGAAGTATGTTTGCTCTGAATTTGATTCTTACTTCCTGAATGCTTTTATTTGCGATTACAAGTAAGTACTTGGAATGGATTGAGAAGAGGGGCAAGGGTAATTCAAACAGCTCAGGCAATCGTCAAATGTATTAGTTTCGGCAGCGTTCAGACTCTGCGACGACAGCGTTTCGGTCGGGCGTTCGACTCGATCAGTGCAGTCGAAAGCATGCGCATCGATCGCGACGAATCGAGCGCCCGAAGCGCTACCGAAACTCGTCGCGTGGTCTGAACGCTGCCTTCCGGTAACATTGGAAAGGTATGCAGTGCGCTCAAAATGCAAAAAGTCATCTGCCAAAATTTCATCGTCGAAGCCGAATGCGTCCCCCCAAGGTCCCAAATATGGCCCCTGTTGTGTCCTAGACAGCGATGATGTGTCATTAATGCAGTACAACAACGACAGTTGGATTTTTCAGTGATTCGCTTTTTGATAAAGTTGAGTTTGATGAGCGTTGTGCTCGCTAGTCTGGCTGCTACGGTCGGGATCCTGCTGAACTGTGCCGATGGCGGAACGAAGATCCCTGGAAGCAAGGTGCGGTTTAAACAAGTTTCTTTGCATTAACACAAACAACTGTGAGCCTTAGTGCAATATGCTGGAGCATTTAGTGCAATAGTTCGTCGAGATACGATACACGAAATTTTGCACAAATGCTTTCTTCAGGCCATAACCTTCGTTCCCGGAATATTTCATCAGTTTCTTTTTTGATCTTGTAAACCATTGCTGGGGTGATTGAAAGAACTATTGTGAGCCGGGGATGAGAATTTTCAGCTAAGCCTAAAGGGGAGGTGCTTTAGTGGTTGGTGGTGGTTGGTGAACCCATTTCGTCCTCTCCGAATCTCGTTCTCCCTTAGCTTTTCCTGATCATCCATCACCAAAGAAAAAAGCTGCAGTGACTCCAGATGCCTACAACAAGTGCACCAGTGTATTACACTGAACACTATTCCTGCACCCAGCTGCGGTTATGTATGGTTGTTTTCAGCCTCTTTGTGCGGATTTGACGAAATTGGCCGAGTTCAAGAGTCCATCTCCTCGATTCTTCGCAAATGTTCAAAAGACATATGGAACAGTGTTTAATGGTTATTATGCACGCGTTGAACCTACAGTATTGACTGTAAAGAAGAAATGGAACGATTTTCATCGCGAGTTCGTCAAGTCTGATATTGGCCTCGTTATTGACAGGTACTTTCCTTTTCCTAACTTTTTTTCCGAAAGTTTCATGTGCAGTGATGTTTTTAGTTACTAAAGGCTTTTTTCCTGACTGAGCTTATCTTCTTCCTACTCTTGCCTTTTAATTAGAACTTTACCCGTTAGAAAATTTCACTTTTACTCTTCGGTTGAATGACTCATCGTGAAGCTGGAAATGCTCTCCTTGAAAAAGTGATCAGGATCCACGTCTCCCTGCTTGATACTAGGTTTTACGCTAATGGCCTTGGAAGGGCCATTTGAAAAGCTTGTGCGGAACTGGGAGTAACGTTGAAGGACGAAAGATAAAGTATTCGCCGTTGATCAGCCCCTTTATGAGGTCGGCACTCATTCTACTTCCTTACAGATAGTTTCTCTTTAAGTGTGGCCTATACAGTGACTTGCGGGCCCAGCCGATGTACAAGTCAGTGTTTTATCCTCCCAGACGAATCTGGTACCAATTCACCGTCCCCGGAGGGTAGAAGGCTTGGTTGGCCTGGGCGGGAGTCGACCCGGGATTTGAACCCGGAACCGCGCGTGTGGTAAAGGCCACTTGCCGCTACACCACCTCCACCTCGGGATTACCAATATCCGAATAGAACCCCTTCGGGCCTAGGCAAAATCCCCATATTTATTGCGATGATTGTAGTTCTGCACACGGAGTCCCTTAACTGCCCCTACGAGGCTGCTCGCCTAATGTTGTATACTTTAGGTATTACCACAAAGTCCACGCATTCATCGTTGACACTTCTTTGAAATTCGTGCGATTCGTGCAAACACAGGTATGATTTTTTTCATTTTGTGGGTTTATTCTATTATAATCTTCAATTTTCCATGCAGCGAGTGGCACTTGCGAAGTGGTGGGAAAAAGATGGACGTGAATGGCTTGGAGGTATCGTCGATACGATTCATGTTACGGTCAGCGTGATGGCAGAGATCATCAAGGATATGCTGGGATTAACCTTTGGTATGTGGCTTTTACTTCCTAATTATTTCATGCCGGAATATTTGTTTTATGAAATTCTTTCTTACTTTGAAATTACTAACTGACAGTGGAAGAGCTGCTGACCCCGGCTGACAGCTAGTATTCGAGTGCACAGTCAGTTTTGTCGCCCCCCCCCAACCTTTTTGTGTGAACACTATTACATTTGCAACCGAAACGGCCGGCTGCATTTCATATGTTGAAGGATTGTCAATTTTTCCTCTAAGAAGTCCTCTCAAGCGTCGTAGTTCCCGCTTCGGAAGTTGTCACAAGAATGCTGAGTCATGGGCAAAAGTCTTGATTCCTGGTGGAACTCGAACCCGCACCTCGTGCGTAGCGGACGCTATGGGCTGGCGGGTCAAGACATGACCATTACTCAGCATTCTTGTGGTAACGCCAATTGTATTTGAATACAGTTGTTATACTGAGTTGTTCGAGGCTGGTCAGCGGGGCATGGGTTTTGGCGCGACGTCAACCCGCCTTCCATCGTTTGTTGGGCTTTGGGGGTTCAGTGGCTGGTGGGCCACTGACACGACCCGACTAGCTTTACCGATAACGACTGTACTTTTTATTTATTTACATCATAGGGTGTACTTTACATTGCATGAAATAATACACGGTATATTTACAGTCGTCATCCGGGCACTTGATTAGGGCGGCCAAGGGTCGCGACGCGGCTGCGGCGTGTCACGAGCGCGGCGATCAGCTGTTTCCAGCCTATTTTAGCCATTTTCTCCCTAATTTACACTGTTTTGGCTGCTTTTCTCAAGATTAGTTGTTCCTTGTCTTCACAAGGTGAATTATGAGATTCCTCTGATTTTTGCGTACAATTAAACAGTTAAGCAGACAATTGAACAAATACCTGAAAAAAAAATCGCAAAAACACCTATTGCAAAAGAAAAAAAACTCCACGTCCTAATGTACTTCATAAAGACAATAAAACAACTTACCTTAAGAAAATAGAAAATACAGTGAAAATTAGGGAGAAAATGGCCAATTCAGGCCGGAAAACAACACTGATCGTCTTGTTTCGTGACGCGCGCCAGCCGCGTTTGCCGCTTTTACGGCACCCTTAAGTCAAGTGGCCTGGATGACGACTGATAGCACATAGGTGGTGATACGCAGTTCGAATCGAATTGGCGTTATATGTATTCTTTGTTATTTTATTTATGTGGTCTTTTCAGATAGCATTTGCCAAGCCATTCTACCATCGAGTCGACCGGTATTCGTATAGGCAATTGGTCGCACATCGTTGGTTTACGCGACAGCAATTTGCAGGCCAGGTTTTCTAGTACGGTCACTTTATTTGGGCGTACCCTTGCTAGCTTTCGAGTTTTGTTACGTGGTCACATTCACAGTGTTCACGATGTGTTATTATTTGTCGCTGTTTTTGTCGTTCTACAATTAATTTAACGCATTTTTACCCCCGTTTTACATTGTATGAAATAACTGGAATGTTTATATCCATTTTCCCCGGTATTGTTTTATTGCATGTTCAAAAACGTTGAGTTGCCAGAATAAAGTATGGGTACATAGTAGTTGAACAAAGGCATGTTGAAGTCAGAAGCTACCGACAACCTGTTACAGGTATTTTGAACGTTTTAAATGAGGGCACTTCGGCGCTTTCCCAAACATAGAATAGGAGCGCATTCAGTTGTGGGAGAGAGAGGTTCAAGCGGTCTGACAAAAATCTTTTTTGATTTTTAATTTTTCCGTTCTCAAGGCAGCGAATACTGCGGGAGCACAATGCTGCGCGCGGTGATTTTTCTCGCCAGTTGGTTGTATGGGAACCCACTTTACATGTCCTTACGGTAGTATACGCAGTTTTCGCAATTCGCCCACGGAAATTAGGTCGTCGCGCAGCGACGATCTGCGCCCGACTATATGACACGATTTTTAGTGATATTGCTTCAAAGCGATAATTACGTATTGCGAAGAATAAGTGGGTTCTATGTCTTGTCTACATGAAATCCATGCTCCAATCGAAGAAGGTAGTGCCATTATTTATAGACAGCGTCGCGGTCATTGCGCTCGACGACGAAGCGCCAATTCACGATTCTTCTTGCCCTTCTCCCGTCCTTGTCCTTCAAACGAGTGCGGCTGCTTCGTGGTTCGTCGATGTTTCGCGGTCCTCACAGGCTCACACGTAATCGAAAACATAGTAACTCGAGGGTTACTGTCGGCACGACGCGCGCAAATTACGCGCCGCCACGCCATAACACAGACATCTATCAGTCGTGAAGAGTTGCAGAGAGCTCTGCCGAATGCGGCTGACCGGAGGGTACTGATTGAGGTTGGGTGAAATGTCGGTGTCAGTACGAACCCCTGTCACAATCTGCCTACCATCTTACCAAGTTTTTCCAACTCCCTGCCAACTTTCCAAAAATTTTGATCTCTGGGGGCTGGATTTAAATAAGGCACTGAAAAGGGAGAAACTAACATTGGGGAGAATTTCATTTATATTTTTTAGGTCAGACACCGCAGGTATGTGCAGGTCTCGTTGCATGTTATGCCCGCTCAGAGGGCGGGGCGAGCGACGCGCGCTTGACGGACGAATTGTCTAGTCTGGCAGTTTGAATTTTGAAGAGACGGAAAACATCGACATCAATGGGTTTGGAGTCTTGCCTGCGCTTGATTCTCTAGATTTTCTTTGCTCCAGTCGACAAACAGTGATTATTGAGAATTCGCCGCGCCGCGTCATGGATTCGCCGCGCGCGGCGAGTGCAGGACACACTTACGCGTTGTCTTGTCCGCTTCTTCCAGCGATCCCCGATAGGATTCCAACAGCGATTGCATGTACACCTCGCTAGCAGCAGAAAAAGCGAAGGCATAATGATTTTTCGTTCCTTTTTATGCCGATGTGAGATCAGTTAGCATACGTTCAACGGCAAAAAGCAATTTCGAGCTGACAGGCACTCCCATCTGGCGAGACGCCACGCATGTTGACCGTCCTCTCGAATGCAAGCACTCAACTAGTGGCTGATGGAAACCTTCTCACGCGTTCCTCTGCTTCAATTCTTTTCAGACTCGCTTTTCCGTTAACAATGACGGCGATTTTAATGAGTCATTAGAATTGTTGAATTAATTCTTACAGGCCTTAAGGAAAGTGGCCAAGAGAGGCTGCATTACAAGTGACGGTCGTCCGGGATCAAACCTCAGTGCGGATTCCACTGTGAACAACCAAACCCTCTATCGTGGTGAGTTGTGGTTCAGAGAAAAGGACCAAGAAGCTGATATGTACTAACCTGAGCTGGGTTCCGACGCGAGTGAATGTGCAAGGCCATGTTACGGATGGCGGGTCCTTCGGCCGCACCATTCGCACAGTTGACGGCATAATCGCGCGTCATCGCGAAGTCGACATGACAGTACCATATCGATTACCCCACCCCCACTCCCCACCCTCCTCCCGTCCCGAAACTGACCAGTATCGAGCGCAGGGAATAGCTAATCTGTGCACAACACATAGCGACACAACTTTATTAAACTCACTTTATTAAACCTAATTATTTTTCAAGGTAAAAACACTGAATCCGTGACAATGAACCTCGTATTTCCTCAAAACAATAACAGCGAAGTAGCCCGTAACAGGAAATCAACTAATAGAGCATCTGCGCTCTTCACCCATTACCCAAGAATAGGCGTTTTGGAACATTTTGATCCATGGCGCAGCACAGTTCTCGGAGGTTTTCCAGTCAGACGGATAGTCGGCCCATTGCCACGAGAGGAATGACCTGAAGTGGCCAGTCATAAGGAAATGAAAGCTTTTGAAAGGTAAGGAGAAACCTCGAAAGTTAACCAGATGAATGGATGGAACATGGGTATGCAGATCAAACCTGTCTGAGTGAGGCATCATAGCCAAATGACGCCCGTCCGGGCTACAAATAGCCGCTACCGAATCTTCGGACCCGTTTGGATTCCATGGATAGAGCATACTTGGCTGGCCATCTCCGTCCACGTAACGAACCGCAATCTGCCCGGAATTTCGCAAGGATTCCAGCACGGCGGGGTTACGGTAGGTGAAACGACCTGGAGAACAACATTTAAAACATTTAGACCTCGAGCTTATAGTTCTATTAAAAGCTGAGATACCCTCAAAATGCTGAGAAAACCTACCTTCACCGTGTGAGCTCCACAAACCCAGGACAGCTCCTTCCATCCCACGTAGCCACACTGACTTGGACTGCTCTATTCTTACTGGACCAAAGACGGACTCGAATCGACCACAGCGATTTTCCGCAAGGAACACCGACGGGGTGTCTTCTGAAGAAATCATGACTGACTAAAAAATCTGTCCCATAGAGAGCACATGCAAAATTAATAAGCCAGTGAATTGTTTAACTTTTCCGCTATTAATGAAGAAGTCGAAGACTATAGGAAAACCCCCCCCCCTACCTTTCATAGACCGCGAAGGTCAAAAATTTGAAAAAGCTTCTCTATGGCCGCTTTACTGGGTTGTCTTTCCAATTTTCAGATCTGATGAGTACTACATATGAACCCCCCTCCCCTCCCCCTAATAATTTGGGTTGCTCAGGTTAAATGATGCGACAAGACTAGCCTGGTGCACTGAAGTTAATAGCCAGTGTACTCGGCTCACAGAAGCACTACAGTAACGCTTCAAGTCAATCAGTCAGAGTCTGGGTATGTCGTCCGTTGAGGATCTCCAGCTAGAGGGTCTTATTTGGTCACAGGAGGGAGAAATAGTATTTGTTTACGTGCGCTATACACCCCTCCCCTATTGCCCGTCGACGACCGTTTCCTGGAGAGGGGGGGGGACAGCCGGAGAGGTTTTCGAAAAAAAAACTCCGGGAAAAAAGCTGGGAAGTTGGGAGAATTTGGGAGAGTTTAGGAAGAGGTGATAGGGGTAGGTAGGTAGGTAGGTAGGTAGGTAGGTAGGTAGGTAGGTAGGTAGGTAGGTAGGTAGGTAGGTAGGTAGGTAGGTAGGTAGGTAGGTAGGTAGGTAGTATAGGCATGAGTGATGTGGAAAGGAAGGGTCATACAATAATTAGTAAGCATCAAGGGGGACGGTTGTCTGTCGTGAAATTCTGAAATTCTTGCCCTCATGGCAGGGAGCGTGCCGCGCTGTCCTAGTGGATACTCGTATGGGATGGATAAAAATGCAGTGTCATGTGAGTCGTAAAATCAAACCACAGGGAAAAATTCCTAGCGCGCTTCTACTCGGAAAGGTTTTTATCAAGGCTAGATACAATCCATTAACGATGCTGTACCCCGCCGATTAGATCATGCCAAGCACATGACGACGTCCACAACGTCGCTTTCGCCGTGTCAACGCACTTCGAATCTCCTGAGCCGCACCCCCAATGACGAACATGAGGCTATTGCTTGTCGTTCTTCTGGCCTCGTGTCTTGAAAGCGTGCTTAGGTTGTCAATAAAATGCACGACAGTTGAGTTACACTTCATGCTTTTAAGTACAGGATTTTTGAGTTTCCAAAGAAGTCGCTTTAGTCGGACCTGAATAACCACCCCAAGAAAAAATCACACCTTCCATATTCGGCCGGATCCATCCGATGGGTGAGCCATCAACTGACAGCCATTACATACACCAAAGGAAAGTGTATCGGTCCTGTTTCGGAAACGTGTGAACTCCTGGCGAACCGACGAGTTGTAGCGAATCGCTGCAGCCCATCCTTGAAATAAAAATTTTGTAAACTGGGAGATCAGATGGCGCATGAAAAGGTGTAATGACAAATGTAATGAACTATTACCAATGTAAGTAATAATGGCCATGAAAAGCAACAGCAGGAAGTAGTTTTGACGTCTGAGGGGCCACCATGCCTACGCAAGCAAAGCTTTGACAGGTCTCGTCTTGTAAAGACGCTGTGAATTTCTTGGTAAATACATGCAACTCACTGTCACCATTTCGGAGCTTCAGCAAGAATTATAGTACTCACTTTGTTCTTACGTTACGTGAAGGCTAGCAGAACAAACTTAATGCCTCTCCAAAGCCGTTCAGCGCTGACGAATAGCGCACACCGCCCGTAACTATTCTGCCGCGAGCCAAGTGAATTAGTATGACGGGATGATTGGTGGGAACGGAAGGGTGCAAACGAGCAGGAAATGGGCGTGGCTTGGTCTGCTAGGAAAAATAGTAGTTTTAACAAACCTTTAGCCGAACCGAGGACATCATTCTGGGCAATATGAGAATCCGCCAACAAATGCCACAACTCTGAAATATTCTCTTGTCCCGGAGAGCTATCGAGCCGAAAATGGGAGCTGTAGGATCAAACCTGTATGGATCAAGTGTGTGTCCAGCCAGAAGATCTGTCATGGTGACGTCATGGGGTTGGAAGCCAGCCAAAGCGAATGCTGCCGCCATTTCACGATCTCCATTAGAACCCTCTTCTCGGATAATTGCTACTCGAGGGGCTAGAGTAATTAAGTTGAGTGAACTGGTACTCATAATGAAGGCACTGATCTACAAATCAATCAATACCAGATTTTATTCCGAGGCGAGGTACAGGATTGGGTACTTGCCAGTCAAATGGAGCCGAATAGGACACGGTTCTTGTTGAAGCTCGCACCTGAAATTAAGTCTCTGAGCATCCCAGATCGATCAATTTCGAGTGGCTGAATCCACAGGCGTGCATCAGCAGTACCCCGTCCCCGTAGCTTCCGGAAGGTTACCTGTTTAGCCTCATCCAGGCATCCAGCATCCGTCTGCATGAGCCCCAGTCGATCGGACGTTTCCTCCCAGATCTCGCGTAATGCCACCAGGCTCTCATTGACCACAACTTCACCGTTCACAATGATTTCAACCTGAAATAGCATACTGTGAGCGCGGTCATTAGGTCCACCTATGATAGTGCGGCTTTGCATCACGCCTCACGTAACCGAGTGGTGCGCTTAGGGCACAGCACACTGGGAGATCCCATCAGGGCTCGCGCATGGTCTTTGGGTAGGAGAAGGACATTTTCCTTAAGCAGGATGTCAAATAACCCGATTACAGAAGTTTATATCGAATTCAGAACCAGAAAAACTAGTGGCGCCGAATTGGCGCCTACTGGCGCTACATGGCGCCAGCACTACAAAGGAAGGACATTCATGTAAGGAGGATGTGAAGTAACCCGAGTCTAGAAGTTTAAATCGAGTTCAGTACCACAAAAACTAGTGGCGCCAAATTGGTGCCTACTGGCGCCATATGGGGCCAGAACTACAAAGGAATAAAATATCCGCTGTAAGGATGTCAAATAACCCAGGTATAGAAGTTTATATCGCGTTCGGTGCCAAAAGGACTGCTAGAGCCAAAATGGCGCCTACTGGCGTCTTACATGGCGCCAGCACTACAAAGGAAGGACATTCATGTAAGGAGGATGTGAAGTAACCCGTGTCTAGAAGTTTAAATCGAGT